AAACTATTCTGTACATGGGGCATTCCACGTCAAGTGAGACAAAAAATGACCATTTTGAACCTCACCTCCTCCGATTTTTGCGAAACTTTGTGAAACTACTCATCTATATGTGAAAAGAAATGAGACATGTTTTTGTCAAGATATGACGTCACGTTTCCGAGATACACGTCATCAAACATTGACTTAGGCAAGGCACATTATCATCTTTAAAGCGTCATAACCATTGAAGTTTTAGACATATCACCATGAGACAAAGTGTGAAATGGAGGGAATAGATCAGGCTTTAATTTGAGGATAACAATATTGACGTATTTATCTAATTAATGAACTAAATTAAAATTCAAAAAATAAATTTTGATTTTCTGAAAAATGGGTACCCTTCGATTTTGCTGATTTTTACATATTTTATTCTCCCATACATTAGCTACATCATATAAAAAATCCAGAATGGGCCGACGTGTAAGTAACTGTCTTTTAGACTTCGTAATGTCTGGCACTCGCGTGTTTCGTTTTAGCAACCAAGGAGAGGCGCTACCCGGAGATGCTTCTTTCTACCCCAAACCAAAGCAAACCTAGCCTGACCTGACGTGACCTGACCTAATCTAACACGCGTAAATATGTACAGCCCTCACGGCAGTTGCCGACTGGCCATTTGCTACTTAGATACGAACATTAGCCCTCACGACATTTGCCGGCTGGCCAGATGCTACTTAAAAAACGAATGCATGTTAAAACACTTGAGGGCTTGAGGCTAACCGGCCACGAGCCAGCCACCTTTAGATTGCGAGGTGGGTACACTCGGCACACTAACTACTAAGCCACGAAGATAGGTAGCTGGTCATCGCGGAGATGTAAGCCAGTTTTTTTTTTAATGATGCAATTGGGCATTCTCCGGGCAGCGCCTCTCTTTGGTTGCAAAAAGGAAATACGCCTGACTCTCCCAGCGCTAGGGGGTTTAGCCAAAAAAGGTATAAAAAAACGGAATTTGAATTGTAGGCGGGGTGGGGTACTTTATCGTGTGCCAATTTCATGGCCTTTGATCAATATCTTCAAGAACGAATGAGGTTAATCGTGATGAAATTTGCTATAGTGACTATTTTGCGTTTATACGCCCATAGCTCTAAGAGTTACTGGCCGATTTTCCTATTTCTTCCTTTATACGACATTTGTAGTGTTATGAGAATCTCTAGTTAATCTAACAAAAAATTTGGCAGTTAGTTAGTGGCCTGCTAAGTGCTAAGAGTAAGATGTCGCCGGCAAAGGCGCGGGGATCGGCCGACGCTGGAAACGTTTCAGTCACAGATTGTGTTTGCACCCTAATAACTCAATTTTTACCAGTTGTTTTTCGTATTTATTTGACCATTAGTTTGCCTGTACATTTTTAAGCCTTCACACAAAATTTGACACGAATCGATCATAATCAGCGGTAAGAAGCGCAGTGCAAAGATGGAACCGTCCGGCGCCGGCCCAGTCTACCATTCAGGCGGCAACGGCCGGCGACGGCCGCCGCGCCGCTCCGGCAAGATGTTTGACTTTACACCGCTATTACTAGAAAAGTTGTGGACCGATTTACCTATTGCTTACACGGGAGGATTTGCAATTCAATTCTGGACAGATGCTGAAAGTTTGACGTTAATATAATAGTTATGGCGTGAGTTATTGGCGAAAAACAGGTGGGGTTGGAGAAATCCGCCCCTTCCATCGCCCGTGTTACGTTGCTATATCATCCAAAGTTATCGTTGGCCCACTCTAATTTTCTCAGCACGTATGCCTTACGTGTGGTGGAAGATAATATCTAAATTTGAGCAAAATCGAAGGGTACCCATTTTTCACAAATTAGATTTTAAGAAATTAATTCAAAATAAAATGAATTCAAAATCACCAAAAAATGTTAAAATTGCCAAATTTAACTAGCATAACTCCTTATGTACACGTTTCCGTTTGTTTGAAATTAATAGCTTCAAAAATGTTGAAGCTATAGATCTTTCGAGATTGCAATACACGTCCAATTCTGCTAAAAAAGCAGAAGTTTAGCGGCTTGTATCTCTGTAGCCCGAGGGCACGTGACAAAATCCTTTGACCCTCAGAGGTTTCACCCAATAGCCAACAAGTATACCAAGTTTGAACAAAATCGCAGAGGTGGCCGATTTTGGCTGTCCCGGTTGACATGGAATGCCCCACATCTAATGATTTTTCATAAAATGAACATTTACAAATTCCAAAAGTTAGATATTATTGGCTTATCAGATTCATTACATCAAAGCTGTCTATTTTGAATAGATGCGAGGCATGTTAGTTAATTTCTGTGCAACCTCATTGCCATTTTTTTCTCTTATCCACTCTGCAAGATCTCTAATGACATGAATCATATTGATGTGCTATATTCATATTATCATTGCCAGCAAAAGTGGGATCCCCATGCAGCTTATGAATGCTGATATTTTGAGCTTTGCAAATTGTGTTACATAAGTACCTAATCAAAACATGGTAAGGTTTCTTTCAGAGTACATATTCATTTGCAAAGAGAAGGTACAGCCTGCACCATGAGGTTATGTCATGAATGTTCACTCTGATTCAAGTATTTTTGTCATTTTGCTGACAATCACATTCTCTGGGCAAAATCCCTATGTGGCTTGGGTTCTAATACAATCTCGTCTCTATTTTTGGAAATGGGACACCATTTCCCTAGCAAGCAGGAAAGGCAAAATGATAAAATCTGGAAAAATGATAAGCACCCCAAAATCGAAACAATAAAGCTGGCACACCCATCTATATTAGACCTTTCATGAGTTCATTGCATCTGGGGTAATTTTTCCCTTATCTTTATTGTTGTGGCACGTTAACTAGATTGACATATAATTATGTATATTTATCTAAGAATCAGCAGTTTTTGACCAGCTTGAATGAATTGCTTATTCATTATGCATTATCATAAAGGTGCTCTATCGCATACTCATTGCTCAAGTTTCTTATACTGCAGGCTCAACTCACCTTATATCTTTGCAGCTGCCCCCCCCCCCCCCACCTCAGTGCAAACGATAGAGGCATGTCCAAACAAGCAGTTTTGCATTATTGAGGTAATTGTTATAACTTTTTTAATATTTAATAATATGCCATATTGTGACATGATTAAGTGCTTAAATGACTGACCTCAAATGTAAGGTACCTTAGGTACCTTATAAGGTTTGAACGTTAGGTACTGTAGTTTATATTTGTTATTTACCTGCTTGGCAATCCAACCCAACTTCGCCATATCTGCAGTCTGTACTGCACAATATTTTAGTTGCCAATCCAACCCAACTTTGCCATACCAGCAGTCTGTACCGCGCAACATTTTAGTTATTTGTGGAAATTGTATACCGCACATCACAAACTTTCGTGCTTGATGCTACTTGTTTTTCAAACTGCTTAGAATTAGAAGCTGAGCGACTGGTGTTCTTCCCCAAAAGTTCGAGTTTCTCCAAAACTATAACTCGGATTTCGTTTTTCTTACACGTCGCCGTGGAATTCAAAAAGTTTTCCTAAGAATTTATTTGTATTTTTTGTGAGGATGCCGACAAGTTATGATAAATCTTGGATGCTGTTGTGAAGTTTTGGATAAGTGACCCTTGACCCGCCAGTACTCTTCATATGCAAATGGAAAAGTTCTCGGGCCACATTCCTTTGCTTCGGGAGCTGCTGAATTGGCTATCAGATAACATACTTTCATTATTTTCGTTCTAATAAAGTATGATTTATTGATAGTAATGACTAATGATATGTAAGCCTTCTTGACGATGAACAAGCTTGAATAAAGAATATGTTGCTGTGCGGCACTGTCCTGTGTACAGTGGTATTCCAACCCTTGAAGCGTATCTCCCTATTTATGCTACTTATGCAAAAAGTTTCAACGTAATCCGTCCAGTCATTGCGGAATGATATAAGCGGAACAATCCAGACACCTCTGCTCGGCACATGGAACGTACTGTGACGTTAAACTTAAATGTTATCAAAAGTAGTTTGATAACATTCATGCTTGAGAAGATATGTTGCAGCATCTGCTCGGATGCTGGAGAACGCCTGTCGATAGATAATTAGATAAAGCAGTTGCTGGAATGTTGGGCTATGAAAAGTGTCATTCAACCGGGCTAAGTGGGTCGCTAATGACGTTTTTCCATCGCACAGATTCGCTCACCTGCACTTTATCTTATCATTTTCATATGCATACCGAAGGCTCGAATGATGAGATAAATTGTATTTTCTCCATCATTTTGACTTCAACTGGACTGGTGTTCCGGTTCGATTCATTATAGAATCGTTGACTAAATTTATGGACTTGTTGACAGTAGCTGTAGCATGTTTCGTGAATCAAATACTGACGGCATGGTACCGTTGAGACGTTTTCCCATGGCATCATTTTCCCTTGGTTAATTCTTTCAGATGACATGCTTATTACTGATGTCCGTTTGCAATTAGAAAATTCGGTTTCCTCATGCATGGCTACTCTCGACAGCTGGCAGCTTTCCACAAGCCTTTCATTATGATATGATCAAGTGAGCCCATTCATTACGACCCGAAACATGTGCAAGTGCATTGACATCCAACAGACATTGTATCTCTGGGCACATATTTTCAGCATCTCTGCTACTGCGCCGCAGGCAACCATTTCTTGTTTCGGTGACATTCCTCGCATCGCGTCGCATTAGTAACCTCAGTGCCCTGGTTAGCGGCGGCGGGGAGGGGGGGGGGGTGACCGGCCCGTTCCGAGTTTTTGTCACCGTCCGACCGGCACCAGCTGAGTCATGGCCTCCGTCTGTCTCTGTGAGTGTGATCCCCCGCTCCTGGCCTCGGTTTGATCGCCTCTGGCGCCGACTGGTCTCGGCTAGTCTGAAGCCGAGCCGAGTCGCGCCGGGACTCGCCGAGAGGGGAGGGGAAGGGCGCTAAGCCGTGACAGTGTCATCCCCGCCGCTCCTGACAGCGTCCGAGACTGACCCTCCCCCTCCCCCCGCTGTCTGTTGCAGGCTCCTCTTTGTACGTGAATGGTCTGGAGAAGGCGGGCGGAGAGTACGCAGTGACAGCTCCGATGAACGGCAACGGGCTGTTGAGCCAGGGTAGCCCACAGTCGGTGTGAGTAGACGACTCGTGTCGAGCGGCATGGAATGCAGGTGTCTCTGTGAAGGTGGAGGGGAGGGAGGTGGCTGCGCTGGTTACGGCTGCAATGAGCCGCATATCCGTCTGTGAAGGTAGAGGTGGAAGGGGAGGGCTGTGCAGTGTGCAGGTTACGGCGGCTTTGATTTTGACACTAATGGCTGGGGTATACTAAGGGAGGGAGCGCCCGCTGCGGTCAGCCGAGGCTGACCTGTGACCGGATATTTCACCATGGGACCCGTCCACTGCCGCTGTTCGCCCGCCGACCCCCGCGGACCGCTCCATAAATCCCAGCCAGTGACGGCGAAATATCGCCCGCGGCGCCGGCGTGCATTGGACCGGCCGGCGGCGCTCCATTGTGGCATCGTTAGCGGCAACTGCCCACCCCCGGTGACGTCATACAGTGACGTCACTGGGGGCGGATGGCTATCCTTAGCCGCGGGCGCCACTCTGGGGCGGACATCTGGCCTAATTGCGCTGCTCCGAGGGGAGGGGCTGGCGGCGGAAATAGTTGCCATGGCGGCTGCAGCGACATGCGCCCGCGGCGAACTCGAATAATAATCATTGGTGACGATCAGTGCCTACCGATAGTGCTGGGCCGGGTTGGATTCTCATCTGAGGGGGAGGGACAGTCTAATGGTAGGGTGGCTCCGGCCGGCGGGTGGGGCGGATGACAGGGTGACTGTCGAGTGGGTATTCCCCTCCCGCTAGTAGTGCGATAACGCTGGCTTCGGTTACCGACTACTGATACTTGCAGCCTCTACGAATGGCTGCACTTCTTATCGCTTGCAAGTTGTTAAGTGCACGTTACACAAGTCACAAGTTACTTTAGTCGTCTTATCTTGTTACGTTGATGATCGTTTGCTGCTGGTTGCGTAATGATTGCCTCGCGATTCGTGTAGCTTATGACCTCAGCAGCTGTCACCCGGTGTGACCGCCTGTGCGTTTTGCAGCAGTTCGCTTGTTGCCTCAAAGTGGGCTCGTAGCAGGTGTCTCACTCGCCGGGCCCCTCTTAGAGGCGATATCTCGGTACTCATGTATTATGCCGGGTTGACACAACACACGGTTCCTAAAACGAAAAATCACACCGTCAAGTCCCATATAGCACTTGAGGACTTACTATTCGCCTCCTCGCCTGGCGCCGTGCCAAAACGATTTAGATCATTCAAACTAGGTAAACGAAAGCGACAAAACACAATAAAAGTACCGAGAAACAGAATAACAAATTAAATTGAACTAAACCAGCCTAAATAACCTAAAAATAAACATCTTACCGAATTATATCGCTTTTACCACTGCAGACACAGGCCGGCCGCCTTCTACACAGGCTCGGCGGGGCAAAAACTAAACGTCTCAAAACATACATGAGGAGAGCCCACGCTGGAGGTTGCGGCCGGTAAATAAAAGGAATAAAGGACAGAAATACATCTTCGCGCTTACACCCTCCTCCTTGAACCGATCAAGGTTCAACCAAACTCTAGGCTCTCTCCGACCTGATGAAGGCTGGCAAGCCGCCACCAGCTGAACTACAACCAATACAAGGTAAGCTATCCAACCTCCACCTGATTCAAACAGAAACCCGCTACTCCTCTTGCACGAGCACCAGCTTGTTGATTGGTCGCTTGAGAACTGAGCGTGCCGTCTTGACAATAGCAGTCCTCACATGGCCGCTAGCATCTGGGAACACCTCAGCCACACGTCCTAAAGGCCATTGAAGTCGCGGAAGAGATAAGTCAACAACCAAGACGAGATCCCCTACTGAGAGGTTTCTTTCAGTTTTCATCCACTTCTGTCTGTGCTGCAACAGCGGCAGATACTCCGACACCCATCTTCTCCAAAAGATGTCTGCGAGGTATTGAACCTGGCGCCATCGTCGCTTGGAGAAGCTGTCTGACCTCACAAAGATGCCGGGTGGAACAGCGCCGCCCCGGAGCAACAACAGGTGATTTGGCGTAATCGGTTCCAGGTCTGCAGGGTCACTGGAAACGGGGGTGAGCGGACGGCTGTTGATGACGTTTTCGACTTCACACATGAGTGTGTGAACTGCTTCATCGTCCATTGTCTGCTCCTGAAGCAAGGCTTCCAGAACCTTCCTGATGGTTCGAACTTGACGTTCCCAGACGCCTCCGTGGCTCGATGCTCCTGGCGCATTGAAGATCCAAGTGATGCCCTTCTGAAGTAAGAAGTTGTGCACCTCTTCACTGTTCAGGTTGGACACAGCTTCGCGCAGTTCATGTTCCGCCCCTACAAAGTTTGTTCCATTGTCGGAACGGATGTATTGAACTTGACCCCGCCTGGCTTGAAAGCGCCGTAGTGCATTGATGAACGAGCTTGTATCAAGACTGTTTGCCACTTCTATGTGAACCCCACGAGTGGTCAAGCAGGTAAAAAGTACACCGTATCTCTTGCTCTGCCTTCTACCACTCTTCACAAAGAACGGGCCAAAGTAATCACATCCAACCTTGGTGAAAGGAGGCTCATCCGGTGTGACTCTTTCAGGCGGCAAGTCTGACATCACTTGACTCACGACCGGTGCCTGTCTTCTTCTGCAGCTGGTACATCTTGACAACACCGCTCGGACTGCTGAGTTGGCCTTGATGATCCAGTACCTGCTGCGGAGGGCAGCCAGCACGTGTTCACGGCCGGAATGACCGGCCAGCGCGTGAAAGGCTCGGATCACCAAGTCCGTTACGTGGCCCTTACCCGGCAGCAGGAACGGATGACGTGCACGCGCGTGGACAGGCGCAGCGCCCAATCTGCCTCCGACACAAATGATGCCATCTTGAATCTGGGGATTGAGCCGGAACAGAGGACTGGATCGCTTGACCAAGCCACCTCTCTTCAGAGAACTCAGCTCTTCTGGAAACGCCGACGCCTGCACGACGCCAACGATTGCCCTCTCTGCTTGATCGAGCTCTTCCACCGTGATGCGTCCGCTGAAAGATGCTCCCTCTTTCCCTGACTTCCGCGCCTTGAAGATCTGCGCCACGCGTCTGATCCACACAACTGCTCTTTTTAGCCGGTACCAGGTTGAGTAGTGCCTAATCAGCCTCCAGGTCGGAGTCTCTTCCTCGATGACAGCTGTGGCGACCTTGACTTCTTTCCTCACTTCTGGGTCGTCTTCTTCAGTGACCATGGCTGCCGGCATCTGAGGCCACCGCGCCTCCTCTTCACACAGGAACTCTGGGCCGCGCAGCCAGCGCTCGGTCTGCACTCCTCTGGTTGCATCGTCGGCTGGGTTCTGCTTGGAGCCGACGTGTCTCCACTGGCAGGTTGCTGATCCATCACGGATCACTGCGAGGCGGTTTGTAACGAAGGTGTGATACCTGGCCCGGTCGTTTCGGATGTACCGCAGCACGGTGGTACTATCTGTCCAATAGTAGACTCCGTGGATAGACATCTCAAGAGCCTTCTCCAGCATCGTGCTTATCCTGACAGCCATCGTGGCTGCAGCGAGCTCCAACCGCGGAATGGTCATCGCCTTCAATGGAGCCACGCGTGCCTTTCCAAAAACGAACGCACAGTGAACCTTGCCGGCAGAGTTCGTGAGGCGCAGGTACGTGACACAGGCGTAAGCCTGTTGGCTGGCGTCCGAGAAGTTGTGCAACTGAGCCGATACGACGTCGCCAAAGCCAACTGGTCGGTAGCATCTCGGAAGCGTCACCTTTGCCAGTCCAGGAAGATTCGCCACCCATGCTTCCCACTGTGTTTTCTGCTGCAAAGGAATGGACGAATCCCAATCCAACTGCAGCCTCATCAAGTCCTGCATGATCAGGCGTCCTCGAAGAACGGCTGGCGACACGATTCCCAGGGGGTCATACATGGCTGCGATCATCGAGAGAATGCCTCTTCTGGTAGCCGGCGAACTTCTTGTCGTCACCCTTACGCTGAGTGCATCGTCCTTCAACGTCCAGCACACACCCAAGACCTTCTCCACTGGAAGCGCGTCGATACTCAGGTTCAGTTCAGTGACACATCTCCCACGTTCTTCCTTTGGAACCGACTCGAGCAGCTCACGGCTGTTGCTGACAAACTTCGTTAGTCGGAAACCGCCCAGATCACACACATCTTTCAACTCCTTCGCCATCTTCACAGCTTCTTCTGGCGTTTCAACTGACACAAGGCAATCATCTACATAGAACTTCTGTTTCACAGCCTTGCTCACTTCGGGATCACAGTCTTCCTTGTCATCAGCACACTTTCTCAAAGCGAAGTTGGCACAGCTTGGAGATGAGCTTGCCCCGAAGCAGTGCACGGTCATCCGGAATTCCTCCGGATCTCTGGAGAAATCGCCACCTGGCCACCACAAGAACCTCATGACGTCTCGGTCCTCTTCAGGAACAGCTACCTGATAAAACATAGCTTCCACGTCGGCGACAAACGCGCAAGGACCCTCTCTGAACTGCACCAAAACATCTGTCAACGAGTTCGCTAGATCTGGCCCCTGCATGAGAACACTGTTCAGGGAAACGTCCCGAAACCTTGCCGCACAATCGAAGACTACTCGGATCTTCTCCTTTTTGAACGGGTGGTAAACCCCATGATGAGGTATGTACCACACCTTTCCATCATTTCTTGTCAGGCTCTCCGTGGGAACCTTCTCGGCATGTCCCTTCCTGAACATGTCCTCCATGAATTTGCGGTAGTCTTGAGAGAACTTCACATCTTTCTCCAATTTCTTCTTGAGGCCCACGAGTCTTCTTTGAGCGCATGTCTTGTTGTTTGGCATCGCAGGGTCAGTATCTCGGAATGGCAACGCTATTTGGAAGTGTCCATTTGCCTGTCGTTTACAACTCCGAGTCACCTTCTCCATCCAGCGACGATCCTCCTCTGAGGGCCCCTTCTCGGTGGCGCTGATCTTCTCTGGAAATTCTTTGTCGTACATGTTGACCAGCATCTCATCAAGCTTCATCTTGTCAACTTGCACGCGGTTTACCTTCACTCTTCTTCCATCCAGCAGAGAGTTGTGCCTCGGGCCCTGCACCACCCAACCCAAGTCTGTTCGAATAGCGTACGGACCACCGTTCTGACTTCTTCTGATCTCTACAGGCTGGAGAGCTTCTGGGCAATCATTTCCTATCAGGAGTCCAATCTCTGCATCGATGCGGGGCAACTCGATCCCCCTCAATTGGGCACACTGATCAACATCTTCACTTGAGGCCATATCCTCATGCTTCACAGGGATGGCACTGAGAGTGTAAGTAGGAGGGAGTGGAATCATGTTGTCGCCGTCCAAGCTGGCAACCTTCAACCCTCGTACTACACGACTGTCCAGCTCCTGATTCTCGACTGAAGCTGTGGTCATAGAGATCTTCGTGTCTTCCCCAACAACTCCCAGCTCATCCAGAAGAGACCTTGAACAGAATGTAGCTGAGCTGCCTCCATCCAAGAAAGCGTAGGTCTCAACTTCCTTACCACCATCCGAAGACCACACCCTGACTGGCAAGATGGACATCATGACGGCTGGCGTCCTCGACTTCAACCCATCACCTGTTTTCAGCAGATCAACCCCCAGGCTCTTCACTCTTGTTTGTTCTTGAGGACTCTGCATCCGTTCTCCTTCACTTGGTTGCTGAGGCTGCTGTTCATAGTGCAAAGATGTTGGGTGTCTTTTCTTACAGATCGCGCATGTCCTCCTTCTGTTACAGAACTTTGACACATGTCCTTTGTTGAGACATCCAAAACAGAGGCCGTTGTTCTTTACGAAGGTCTCCCTTTCTGTGCGACATTTCATCCTTAGATTCTTGCAGGCCTCCACGTGATGCTCTTCTCCACAGAAGAGGCAGGCCCGCTGTTGATCAGCCTCGATACGGTTGCACTTCTTTACTTGACCTCTAGGGCTTGAGCTTCTAGGGTCTGACGTCTTCTTCGAGAAGTTCGAAAACAGCTGACGACCAAAAGAGGAGTTTGACGCTATCCGTGCCTCTACCTCAACGAAGTTCACCAGGTCTGTGAATGAAGCTTGTCTTTCATTCCTTTCTGCGATCCTGTCCACTTCTCGTCTCCATCCCTCTTGAATCGAGAATGGCAACTTCTCGAGAAGTCTCCGTAGGGTTTTGGGATGGTTGAGTTCATCGGCTCCACCCAGGCTTCCAACTGCATTGCTGCAGGTCCGCAGCTCCACTGCCAGGCGATCCAGAGCCGTCACGTCATCATTTCTTACCTGAGGCCAGGTCATCAACCTTTCGATAAAAGATTCAGTCATTTTTTGAGGATTGCCATATCTCTTCAGCAACAATCTCCTCGCCTCCTGGTATCCACCTGATGACATAAACATGCACCCTCTGACAATATCACGTGGTACTCCTGAAGTGAACTGCTCCAGGTAGCAAAGCTTGTCGCCTTCATCTGTCACAACGCTGTCAATACGTCCGTCAAAGGCCCTGAGAAACTGATGAAACCTGGTCGGGTCTCCTGAAAATACCGGAATCTCAGGTTTAGGAAGGATGCTTGATGTCAACAGCTTCCTCATCAAAGCAGAGTGAGGGTCCTCACCATCTACTCCTCCAACTTCCGGAGCTGATACCTGGGGGCGAGAGACCTGCTTCACAGTGACTGGGTTCTGACCAAAGTCATTTGCATGTTGGTCAACACCTCCAGAGACAGCAGAGTTTGGGCTGCTTGCCGTCAGTGCTGTTTCAATAGCCTCTGACTCCGCCAGGGCTTGCTGCAGCTCGAGTTCCTCTTTCTTCATCTTGAGCTCTTGTTCTTTGAGTTCCAGTGCTTGTTTCTCTCTCAAGTACTTCATTTTAACCTTCAGAGCAGCTTGCTTGGCAGCCTGCTGAGCCCTCAGAGACGCCAGTGTCCCTGACGATCCTGAGTGCCTGGATGCTAGGGACGCACCCACTTGAGACACACTGTCACCTGGCTTCACATCATCAGTTGGCTGACCTCCGTCCCCTTGCTTTCGTCCTCTTCCGTCCTCTTGGTCTTCGATCAGCATCTTCAGTCTTCGATCAGCATCTTCAGGATTCACCGGGGCAAGGTAGCCCGGACCACCTGGACTCTTCACCTCTGGCTGGCTGGGCACTGGAGCGCTGACGTGCTGCCTCACAATGGCTGACGGATCTTCTGTAGACTCATCTGCCTGTTCCATTCCACCTGTAGGGTTGCCAAACAGCTGAGCAACAAAGAATGCCTCATCAACACCTTCACCATGAAGAACTTCTCTCAATCGTTCTACAAGAACTGCTTTAGTTCCTCTGATGTCAACATTTCTTGCTAGCAGCTGTGCCTTCAACAATGGAACTGTTAGGCTCGACAAGTCCATGATAACTTAAGACAGAAACCTCAGATCTTCTGAAGAGTAATGATCCTCTCAACCCCTCAATGAACTTATTGATGGCCTTCCAGGCTGAGGATTCAGGAATATCTGGCAAAGGACTCCAGGCAGAATTATCAGGGGCTTTCAAGTTTCAACATTTGACAACTGAAATGTCACCTTCTACAGAAGTCAAACCCGTCAAGCTGGTTACGGATGCCCTACAAAATCACACTTTCTACAGCATGGGCATGTTCCACTCATTCAACAGCCAATTCTACAGATATAACAACCGTCTCAACATTTAACATCAGGCAGCACATTCACTATCTCCAGTTGACGACGAACGAGGCTATGCACAGCAACATATCTGAAGGCACATCATCACAAAGTTAAATCACCAGCTGCAATTTGGTAGCAAGCAGTAAAGACAAGTCCTTAGCAGCATATATGAAACAGCTGTCTCTGCTCACCACAGTTCAGATGCAGTTGGCGTAATGCCAAGTACTGGTCAGGTCTCACGCAGGTTGCTGTGCAGCAGGTGACAGCCAGGCTGCGGAAGTGCAGGCTGAAGATCCCCTCATCAGGAGGAGGTGAAGCAGTAGATACGCCAGTTGCAGATCTGGAGACTGCACTTGTGGTTTCCAGCGTCTGTGACGTCCTTCAGGCGAATTCGGAACTGTGACCGCCTGTGCGTTTTGCAGCAGTTCGCTTGTTGCCTCAAAGTGGGCTCGTAGCAGGTGTCTCACTCGCCGGGCCCCTCTTAGAGGCGATATCTCGGTACTCATGTATTATGCCGGGTTGACACAACACACGGTTCCTAAAACGAAAAATCACACCGTCAAGTCCCATATAGCACTTGAGGACTTACTATTCGCCTCCTCGCCTGGCGCCGTGCCAAAACGATTTAGATCATTCAAACTAGGTAAACGAAAGCGACAAAACACAATAAAAGTACCGAGAAACAGAATAACAAATTAAATTGAACTAAACCAGCCTAAATAACCTAAAAATAAACATCTTACCGAATTATATCGCTTTTACCACTGCAGACACAGGCCGGCCGCCTTCTACACAGGCTCGGCGGGGCAAAAACTAAACGTCTCAAAACATACATGAGGAGAGCCCACGCTGGAGGTTGCGGCCGGTAAATAAAAGGAATAAAGGACAGAAATACATCTTCGCGCTTACACCCGGTGGTCGTTTTTATCTACAGTCTAGCTAGTCCGCATTCCTCCACTTGAGAGATAAAATTCGTTTGCGAGCAGGGAAAGCTCTTGCATGTCTCATTCTTAGAAAAGTGGCCAGCAGTCCTAGCAGAAGTTCCCTCCTGTGTGCCACATCACCCGGTTATTCCCCGTGTTCCTTTTCTGCCGATACCTATATCAGCTGACCCCTGACCCCTGACCGCGCAGGGACAGTGGCCTGGGAGTGACGACGGGTGCCGGGACGCCGGCGGCCGACGCCGCTCCGCAGATGGCCGGCGAGGCGGCGGCGCTGCTGGCCGGCCCGCCGCCGGCGGCCGCCCCGGCCGCGGCGCCGGCGCCACTCCTCCAGCAGACCGGGCCCGTCTTCTACCCGACGCCGCAGATGGACGGGAGCATACCGCTGGACCAGCTCAAACAGCGCCTGCAGCACCAGCTCGAGTACTACTTCTCCAGGTGAGCTCTCACTGCGGCCGTCTCCGCCGCCCGCCCCGGTGGTGGCTCGGTGGTCTGATCGTCCATCCTCCTAGCCGGCGGGGCGCGGGCGGCGGTGGTCGTCTGTGGCGCGCAGATAGGCCGCTCGGCGCCGGCTGTACGACAGCGCCGTGTGGGCGGTGCACCGCTGATGGCGCGACGCGTTTGTCGCAGCGGCGTCTATTTCGAGCGGCGCCCGCCCGGCTAGCCATGATTGGCGGCCGTGTTTCATGGTGAATGGCGGCTGGGAGCCGGACCGGGCCGATTGGGGGGGGGGACGGGTGGGAGAGGGGGCACCGATGATGAGTGGTGCTGGAGAGGAGCGGTTTGGTGCCGCCGAACCCGGAGCGCGTGGGCGGGAGCGGCCACGTGGGCTGAGCGGCTGCTCGACAGCAGTGGTTTTGTTAGATTTGTGATCGTTACGTGTTTTTGCCGTAGCTCCTTGGGCTGGTGAAATGGGCACCGAATGAAATTCGAGAAGTACTATAATACGGTACATGATCATTGTATTCCTTAATTATTTTTATCAACAGAAAATTATTAAGTAACGAAGTCCCCGGTACCCTAGTGCCAAACTAATTCATATTTGGTATTGTCGAAACCTTAAACGTTATTTTGGCAAATCTTACAATCCGACCACTTTCCTGTAAGTTTATTTACGGCAGAAATAAAAGCCTAGCAAGTGCCGGAATCAATATGTTTGTTTCGTCTTTGTTTTGTATTGCTTTTATAATGAGCAGCCTCCCGAACCGAATTGTTGCATCATGTTGATCCGCCTCTTGTTTTAAATCCAGGACTTTGGTTCTCCTTTCGCCTCCGCTGCCCCCCCCCCCTCCGGGCAGCCGTCCTGTCTGGGTCAGCTGACTGGGGGAGGGGGGAGACAGGAACCCCTGCCCTTGTCGCCATCGACCCTGTCTGCTTCCGCGTTCGGAGAGGGGGAGGGAGGGGGTGCCGCGCCACGTGGGCTGCGAGTGAGAATCACAACCCTGAGGCTGTGGCGCCGGACTCAAACTGACTGTTTTGTCACTCCGTCTGTTTTCAGGGAGAACCTGGCCAATGATACTTACCTGATGTCTCAAATGGACCCCGATCAGTATGTTCCTATTTCGACTGTGGCCAACTTTAACCAGGTCAAGAAGCTGACCAACAATATTGAGCTCATCACGCAGGTGCTACAAGGTAAGCGTTCTCTCGATGCTCGTTGCACACTCTTAGGAATGAAGGGGATGATCAAGGGGTTTCGTGGCCGTGGACGGGTTAGTTTAGCATTGACTGGGCGTTTTGCGTCACCTGGTGTGACTTGTCCGTTGTGCTCAGCGCTCGCTCCCTCCATCCGGAGGGTGAATCACGGCGACGGCAAGGTCGGCCGGCGGCCGGCGCCGCCCCGACCCCGGACGCGGCGATCGATGCCGCTTGTCTGACGGTGCGGCCGGATCCTCCATGAGCCGGTTTGCGGCAGCTGGTTAGCCGACACTGGCTCCGGGGAAGCTAGTTTGTCGGCGCTGCCCCGGCTACCGACATCGCCCGGTGGTTAGGACTAATATCTGTCAACCGTCGACTGCCTGACAGTTTGCTCTACGACATTGACGGCGGCGTTGTTCAACATTAAATTTACAGTAGATTCGAGGCGGTGCCAGTCAGTTATGTTTGAACGTCAATTCTGTTTGCTCTCGCTCAACCGCCAAGTTGCTCTCGAATGTTCCCTACTATTCCGAGTTACCGTAGCGACAGACGGATGGACATTTGTACCGGTCCGGTATGACTGACGTGTAGCGGTACGGGTAGGAACGTGTCTGGTAGACGGCTGTTTATTTAGGTGCCAGCGACGGCCCCGCATCGGCTGCCGTTCGCTGTCGTGGCGATCCCTCCGATGACGGCCGGTGTGCTGAGACGTATATGTCATCAATTGGCAATGAAATGTCGAGCTGGTACACTGGGTCTGGGTCTTCAAGTGTAGTGTGAACTTGACGTGTTTTTTTTTCCAGATATGTCTGTCAGTGTGGCAATTGTCTGTCTGTCGACATATTCTATGCCCAGCCTGAGGCCTCTTGCACCAAAATCCTCTTGCACCAATACTTGGATTACTTTGCATCATATACCCAGTCCAAGTCTCAAATGTAACAATGTGCGTGCAAAATTTAGCAAGCATATGTAGGGTTATATATTGGGCTATTGCAAACACTTAAGCCCCAATAAACAAAAAAAAAAAATTACCACCGTTAGATTAGCTTATTCTGAAACCGGTTTTTCGATTTTACCTAGCTAGGTAGTTTGGTGCAAGAGGCCTCTGTTGTCGACACACCTCTAAACATCGAGAAGCAAACATGGAGCGATTTATGTCAGTACGCTTTTGCCTGTCTCAGTCTGTTTGTGTGTTAGTACGTGTGCAATTTACTGATGTGTCACGGCGTGGCTTAACCATCACCTCTCCGCTCTATTCGCAGACTCGCCCAATGTTCAGGTGGATGCGACGGGTACCCGGGTGCGGCCCAACCACAAACGGTGCACGGTGATACTGCGAGAGGTGCCCGACGCCACGCCCATGGAAGAGGTCAAGGTCAGTGATCACACAGAGGCAGCAGAGTGACATCGATTAAACCGACACGCTCGGATAAAGGTCTCGGGCGGCACGGCTAAGCTGTCTGCCAGTCCTTGAAGACGGTGTTAAGTTAGTTGCTATGGAGATGTTTGGTTTGTAATTACTGTCGGCGAGTGTTTTGTGATATTGGAAGATGAATGGTTTTCCACAAAGGGGATCGGTCAGTCTGCTTAGCGTTAAAGTAGCGTAGTTGGTGTGGTCACTCAGACATTTTGTCTGAATATAAGTAGTGGCTCACGGCCAACTTGAGATTCGAGCTGCGCTTTGGTAGATGTGGCCGCTTAGTGGTTCTGTCAAGTAGTCAGTGTGTTGCGCTTTTTGGTGCGAACAGGTATTGTGTTTTGCTTTGACAAGTGTTCAGAAAACTCGTCTCGTTCCTTCGACTGACGCAGTTAGCAGCTCAGAGACTAACGCCTATTTGAGTCTCCGGTCAGTGGTTTCCAAATATAACCCCGAGACCCAATATCGCTGATACCTGACCACACATCCATTATGCCCAGCTTTCTGATAGCCTGACTGACCCCCTTTTCTGTTCGCAGGCCATTTTCGAGAGTCCCAACTGTCCCAAAGTGGTAAACGTGCAGAACGCGCGGCTCAACAACTCGTGGTACGTCAACTTCGAGTCGGACGAAGACGCGCAGATGGCCTACAGATACCTCCGAGAGGAGGTTCGGTGCTTTCAGGTAAGTGAAATCGCGACGTGTCCTCTAAACCCGCCTGGCTAGACCACTGTCCCGACTGGGGCTCGGCAGGGCTTCACTGCCGCGGCGATTGTCTGCGCCGCAGACACATGGACTAATGGACTGACCTTGGACTCTCTGACTCACGGATGCGCAAACGGATGTGTAGACGGGGAATTTTTGATCATTATTTGTTTGTTGATGGCGTGGCTAAATCCTGGTGGGGAAAGGGGTATCCTGGGTGTCTGGGATTGGTCGGCTTTGGATCTCCCTAAACGTGAATGCGGTTGGTCGGCGTCTAAATTTACGGTAGTAACGCGTAGCTGATAAAAGGACCGACCATAATATTATGGATAGCTGATCAACCGAACCGAACACCTTTCTATATAGTCTCGGCTCAATTAGACTGGTTTGGGCAGTGTGGTCTGATCTCAGCCTCACTAACTGTGTACCGGACGGACCCCGCCGGCCGGTCCGCCTTGGTGTGTTACCTGACCCCGCTGCGGGCCGCTGACGCCGCGCCGCCGTCCCATGAGCAGTTCGGACACTGGGCTCGGGTTACCGGGCGGACGTTCGTGTCCGGGAGGCGAGCACTGTGCTGAGACAGGATCGGTATCACAGTCGCATTGAGCACCGGCGTGGGAGTAATCAATAGCATGCGCCGGCTGTTGCCGAGCGAATTTCGCTACATCCGTATTGCGCGTCTGTTCAATACTTTCTTACTCATTGACTCCAGACTCCAACTCATTGAGATCATGCTTATTTTTGTCCTGTCTGATCACTAGCCTATCCCAGTCAATGTCTTTAACTGATCGCGTCTCGCCTCTAATCCTGCGCTATTGTCTGACCCGCAGGGTAAACCAATCATGGCTCGTATCAAGGCGCAGCCCATCATTAACCGGATGTACAACGCGCCGCCCGGCTCGGGCGGCGCCAAGAACGGGTTCGTGGCGACTGCGGGCGGCGGTGAGCCGCCGGCGGCGCCCTACCAGGTGAACGGTGCCGTGCCGCCGGGCCGCTACCAGTACCCGGTGGCCACGCCGACGTCTGCGCCGCCGGCGGCCACGGCGGCCGCCTACACCCCGCCGCAGCCGCAGCAGAGCCAGTTCAGCGCCTTCTACGTGAGTGAGAGGGGTGGAGAAGGGTAGAAACTTCTTAGAGGGATGGGGAAGGATATAACCTGGCTCTAAGAGGGGATATGGTCGGAACAGGAATCAGTGGGAACCTGAATGGAAGGGGAGGCCGGTCAAAGGGGCTTGATGGGGAAAGTGGGACACACTTACGTGATAAGTTGGCTTGTGGAGACTTAGGGAGCTTGTGGGGACGTGGCGGGACTCGGGAGATCGATGCGAATACGCTATCTGGTATCAGGACTTTCTTTTCTGTCGTGATTCATTACGAATAGTCTGCCCGGATCCTGCGGTCTGGCTGTCTTCTGGTTTGTGTTTTGTTCGTGTTTGTTGATCGGTTGGTGGTTAGAATACGTCATCGAACGCTGCAATGTGACGGCGACAGGTCCGAGCCGGAAAGCGGTCTCCTCAGGCTCGCTGTCAGTCCCGCTGGCCGGCATATTTCTCCTTGTTCCCAATCTTTCCGGACGTTGGAGTATTTTCCCGTGTCATACCTCCTATTATCCCTACACGTTCGTGCACATTTGTCATGCGTTGTCAATAACAGTCGACGCCATGAACGAATACACAAACCAAACAGTTGTTTCTGATACCACATCCTGGTTGCTCCAGTGAACACTGGTATTACCCCGTCTAACCCCATCTGTGGCCGTCTCCCTTGTCGGTCCGGGAGTCGTAACACACCTTGTAACGCTGTCAGTCCCCAGTGACGCCATGCCTGGCTGTGACGCCCCCCGTAACGCCGTCTATACCCGAATCTGTCCTTGTGCTCCCTGAGTGACGTTGTGACCCGTCCCTGTATTTTCGCGACGCCCGCTCTGACGCTATGCCCGTCTCCTCCGGGCGTGCCTCCCCCACAGCAGTTGCCGCAGCCCTACTTCCCCAACCTGTCGTTCTACGGCGCCACCGGCACGGGCCTGTTCGAGATCAGCTCGGCACCCGTGTTCGCCTTCAACGGCCTGGCGCCGAACGCCACCTTCAAGCCCAACTCGTCCAATGGGCGCTACGGCGGCAGCGGCGGCGGCGGCGGACGCAACAGGTTAGAATGAGAGCGCGGGGTGACGGAAAACGCGCGCTGGGTCGGTACGCATGCAGTGAGGTAGGGTTCAGGCTGAGGTGAACGGGTCCTAGTCCATCTAGGTACGAAGTCTGAGCTTGTAGGTGGCGTGCTAAGTGAATCGAGCTGTTAAATCGTTTTTTTTTTTGTAATAGATGTAGTCCCCAGAGTGTTTGACAGTTTATTAGGGGCTGCCAGTGCTGATATGCTCCATATTAGCCGTACCATAAAGTGCGCGATGCGTGTAAGTTGTTACCGCCCCCGTGTCGCATGCAAGCGTATCTGGATTATAGATGAAGTGTTGCAGCACCGCTGAGCCGGCACTTAATCACGCGATGTGACGCAGCCTCGTACGGAGTATGTGGCTTTAATTAAACTTGCGGTGGCGAGGTAAGTTATGCTCGTGGAGGAAAACATGTTTGTAATTTTTCGCCGCAGACACTAACATGCCTCTGTTCTGGGTCGCCAGGAACGCGAAGCGGAGCCAGTCAGGCAGCTCGGCGGACCACAACCGGGGCGGTATGGGCCTGCAGGGCGCCTACAATACTCAAGGTCACAGTACATATCAACCGGCACATATGCAGAGCTTACCGCCGGGCGGCGGCGGCGGCAGCGGCAGCCACAGCTACCCGAACGGCCGCGGCTCACGCGGCTCGCACTCGCGCAGCTACAGCAACGACTACGGCCGGTCGGAGGGAGGCCACGGCGGCTCCGGCCCGGCCTCCGTCTCGGCCTACCAGCTGGCCGGCTCCTCCTCTAGTCAGCTGGTCAGCGGCTCGGGGTCGGGCGGCGGCTCGGCCGGCGCCGGAGACGGCAAACGGGACGAGTCCGGCTCGTACGGCTCCGGGCGGCATCACAGTCAGTCGGAGGGGCGCGAACAGAGGCCGTCCCGACCGTACAACTCGCGGCGGCCGCGGCGGCGGGAGGACGAGCCGCGAGCGCACACCTCCGGCCCCAACAAGGCCGGCTCCGGTCAGGGCGGCTCACACTCGGCGGCCAAAGAGCGGCCGGCGAGCGGCGCGCCGCCGGCCGAGCCGCGGCCGCTCGTGAAGCCGGTGGGGCCCGAGTTTGACCTGGGCGGCTCCATGTTCCCGCCGCTGCCGGGCGCGCCGCCCGGCGACGCCTCCTCGCCGCCCGAGGAGGAGGGTGAGGCGCCGCGCGTGCCGCCACCACCGCCGGCCGCCGCTGGACTCGAGTCGCGGCTGGCCGACGTGGTGAAAGGCACCGCTCGGGCAGCGCCAGCGCCTGCCAAATCCTCAACGGCAGGCGGCAAACAGCCATCGAGACCCGACTCCCCGGCGCTGCCCGAGCCGGCCGCCGAGAGCCGCGACAAGGCGGCGCCGGCCGCCGCTACCACCGCCCCCTCCTCAGCGCCGGCCGCCGAGACGCCCATGGTCAACGGCGGGGTGCACGAGCGAAAACCGCCGACGCCGCCGTCGGCGCGGCCGTGCCCCGAGTCTCCGCAGCCGAGCGTCGTCAGAAAGATGGCCAGCTCTCCGCAGCCGGCGGCGGCGGGACGTCGGGCGCCCGCCTCGCCCCAGCCGGCGCCGACGGCGGCGGCGGCCGTCCGGAAACAGCCGCCCTCTCCTCAGCCGGCCGCCGCGCGGAAACCGCCCGCCACCCAGGGAGCCGGCGCACCAAACAGGTGAGTAAGGTGGTGCAGGGACGACATTCATGTGCTTCGACGTGGGGATAGCTTGATTCCCCACTGCTGTCTTCGGCTTCGCTGGAGAGTCCAGTTGTCTTCGGGCTTGTCATAAGTTAGAGCGTTTAGCTGCTTTTGATTTTAGTGAGTTAATTGTTCATGATGTCTTCGATTGAAGTAACTGTCGCAGGTAGGTTACCATTATTTTGTGTTTGCCAACTAGACCGATTATTTTGTTCCTGTATACTCAGCCTAATTCCTGTTGTGACCAGGGCGCGTGCTGGCCGCTGCGGTCCCGTGCCCCCGCGTTTGACCTGACCTCTGGCCGTCCCAGTGCGGCCAAGCCGAAGAGGACGGAGGAGCGGCCCGAGTCGACGCCGGAGGAGTCTGGTGCGCCGTCGGAGCGGACAGACGTCGAGACGACCTCTGAGGCCGCCGACGGATCGGTAAGACGACTGGGAGAACGGGACAGACTCAACTGGTCAATTAGAGGGCTAAAGGGGCATATTCTGAAACTACATAACCAGCTGAGGGTGGTGATGGGATTTGGGCGGGATTGGCCGAGTCTCCGCCTCCGGTCGCTGGGGACAAAGTACGGGACCATGGATATAAATCATGAAAGTGTTATCGATATCCCCTCGTCAGACGCCGCCGACTCAAGGAATACTGATACGGAGTTTATGACTGATAAACTGCTTCCACGAATAGCAAAGGATTGTTGATTGTTGTTAGTCTAGCACCGCCTAGTCCGAGCCAGGTTTGGGCTTTTTGTTGTGTCACGAGATGAACCGTAACTTGTGGGCAAAGCTCCGTGAGAGCTTCGTCAGCCAGCTGTGACGGCTAATCCCCGTCATATTTTCGTGTTCTCGCTGCTATGTTGCTTTATCCGTACCCAAAGCTGCACTCACCGAACACACCGGTTTTGCCTACCTGACCTGTGGATTATCGTGCAGCTGTTCTTACAGAATGCTTGTCTGTTCGCGGTTCATTAGTGAGGGTGTTGTGTTCGCTGGTCGGTAGTGAGGGATTATTATTTCATTCGGTGATACTGCCGGTGCTCACGGCTGGAGGTGTGTTGCCAGGGTGTTCCGTTACTAACCGCCGCCCCCTCTCGGCGTCTCCAGCTGGCGCCGGCTGCCACCGTTAGCTACGCACAGATGGCACAGCGGGGCCGCGAAAAGAACGAAAAGCTGGCCCAGGAGGTCAAAGAGCGCGACGTCAAGGAGCGGGAGGAAGAGAAGAAGGCGGCCGCCGCTGCTGCCAAGCCGGCGGCGGCGGCCGGCCAGGCGCAGTCGCAGCCCTCGCACGCCGTGCAACGCTCCAACAGCGCGAGTGAGTGACACGCTGTAATTAGACGTAATTAGCCATCCGAGCCACGGATTGTAGGGTCGTATTTAGCATTTAATATTCCAGGCACCATACTCTCCGTTGTCTGATGCATATGCTTTGGGTTTTGGGTGCATGAGCTTCTCTTTTTCTCGCACAGATCCAGCCTTGGTGTTCAGCTATGGAGCCTTTATGATGGCTGGCCCTGTTACCACTTTCTGCTATTCGTACTCGTTATTATCTGCTATTCTGCCCCGTGTCTGTGAACTAACCCGAGTCTCTGCACCCGTTTTCCAGGAAAGCCCGGAGACGACAAGCGACGGCCGCTGATGGATAAGCCGGAGCGGATGGTACGCCGGGAGCCGCGCGACTACCGCGAGCCGCCTGCCGCGCGGGAGGCGCGCGCCGCCGAGCCGCGCGACGGCCGGGAGCTGCGGGACACTCGGGAGTTGGCGCGGGACGGCCGCGAGCCGCCGCGCGCAGACTACAGGGAGGTGCGCGACGAGCGCCGCCGGCCGGCCGACGAGCGAATAGAGCGGCCGCCCTTCAGGAAGCCCGAGCGGCCCCGCTCGCCCAAGTGATATATCTAACCAGTCCGCAGACTAGTGATCCATTGTGCAATCGACGTTTCTCAATTGGGAGGCGGCTGGCGCCTGTGATGATGCGACACGCGCGTGCTCGGTGAGTGGGCCGGCCGGCCGTCGGGTCAGGAGTCGGTGGCGGCCGTCCGCGCTGCAGGAAGACGAGGAGCAGGAGCGCGCGAGAGCCAGAGAGAGACGGGACGCCGGTGAGCCCGGCACGCCGCCGGCGTCCAGACGACAAGTGCCTCACTTAGGGATATCTACTGTTGCGAGCGTGCGCCTGTGCGAGCGAGCGAGCGCCGGCCGGCAGGGAGAGAGTGACACGGGGCGGCTCGGCGGCCGGCTCCCACTAGTCGCCGATGGTTGTGCGGGAGGCGCTGGCGCCACCGCCGCTCCCCGTCCGCCGCCCACCAGCGTGTGCGTGTGCCAAACGAATCAAAAACTGGCGGCCGAACTGCTCAGCGCTGGACGCGCCGGCCGACGGACCGCGCCACCGGGTGACTCGGCCCGCGTCGCCACCGCCCGCCGGGCGCGCCTATTTATACCGGCCGCCGATTGTGTGAGAGAGTGAGATAGCCGGTGAGCGAGTGAGCGAGTGACAGAGCTGGTGGCTTATTTTTGACGAGTGCCGTGCGCGGCCGATGGGGACTGCCGCGCGGCGCGGCCGCCGCCAGCAGCCGTCAGTGTGGATTGAGTTGTACATAGACGGGCTGTGAGTTGTTGAGGATTTTGCCATCTGACTGGGTTGTGTCGCTCCGCTGTCTGCCTGTCCCCGCCTCTGTCTCTTCGTCGCTGTACTCTGCCCCGCCCCGCCCCGCCCCTCTGTCGCCCCTCCGGTCGCGCGTTCCCCCTCCCCCGGTCTCCTCGTGCTCGCGCACGTGTGTCGTTTCACGTGCTCTGTTGGCCGGACTCGATCTCGGCCGCGGCTGCGACCGCCCGTGGCGCGGAGTAGGGCGCGTGGCGCGGAGCTGGCGGCGGCTCGTGGGCTGTCCGCCGGCTGCTGCCGCCGCCCGGCCGGCCGCTGCCACCGCGCCCCCCGTTTTAAGCCGTCGACTGATGAAGCGTATACTGCCGCCCGGGGTCTACACATGCTAATTTTGTAATCGGGAGTGATTTTCATAAATCCTAGTTTGGTTTGGATTCCTCGCACATGCAGTTGCTCAGGAGAGGAGTATGGTATGATATTGTATGATTTTGTTTTACTAGTTGTGTTAATTTTTATATGTATATAAGTGAACTTGGTTTCGAGCGCAGCCTACCCTGCCCCACTTACACCGGCCCGGCTCTGGAGGGGTGGCCGTCGGTTCGTCAGGTGACCGGCCGCCGTCCGGCGCCGCCCGCCCGTCCGCCGGCCGGCCGGTACCCTGTACATAGCCTGTGTAATGACGAGCCGGCCGGCCGGGGAGGTGTGGCGGCACGGAGCCGGCCTGGGAGCCGGGAGCCGCTTCCCAGCGGAGCCGGCCGACGCCCGACCCGCGCCCGCCCGCCCGCCCGGCCACCCATCCCTTCATGCAAAATCGATTGTCGTTGATGTCGTACGCTGCTCGGCTATGATTGAACTTTCCGTGCCTTTCAGTGGTAGTCTCCGTGGTACGGTAGTGACTGTCGAGAACGTGCGCCCCTCCCACTAGATTTTATGTCGGGATGTGTACCTGCCAGTGTATACAGCTTTGGGGTATTAGGTTCTGTTGAAATTAAGTTTGAAATAAACTTGCCTACAATATTGTGCATAATCGGGCGTTTTGATAGGCGCGGCGGACCGGCCGGCCGGCTGGCATGATTGGTGTGATTGTACGAGAGAAATTATTGGCTGAGTGTGATGATTCTGTTGCGTTTCTTGATAATGTATGAATCTGGAGAAAATGCCGATGCTGTTTGTTGGGTATTTACCGTTGGGCTTTAGCCGTGCGAAAGGCTGGCTCCTGATAATATCGACCACGTTTCGTCTGCTACCAATGCTTCCTAGAGGTCTATGGCCCGCCGCTTTTTTCCACGCCTATAACTGCCACCAATTCTCGTAAGTCTTACATCAGCGCTAAAATCAATCTCGTCAAAAAGGTATGTTTCTTTTTATTTCAATCAAATACATTTGTCGAAAATTTTATGCCTCGGAATCTGAGCGAAACATCCATATCTGCGCCACCACAAGTCCCAGCACTTCTGACTGATGCCGTCACCACTCAATAGCAACATCACCCACATCACTGACTCATCACTGACGTCGCCCTCGTCAGCACGGCTCTGTGATCAGCGTCAGAGTACACCAGCGGTACGTGTCTGTGTCGATGTTTCTGAAGAGCAGCCGCGGCCCGCCGCCGATGTCAAGGAGTCGCAGCAGACCCTCCAACACGACGAACCCCGTGCCCCGGCCGACCGCCTCCGACAGACAGAAGTCGCCAGAGGTCACGTGACCGATCAGCTGGGGACGAAAAGGGGAGTGGTCAGATTAGGGGATACACGCGAATGAGATCAACGGTCAATGCCATTAAGATAAAGTTCTGCTTAGGACAAACCTCACACACTACCCATCAACCTGAACACGGTGCTGTCTTACCGCCAATTAGCGACGACTGAATCTCTCAGAATGCCCAACTGGCTTTCCCAATTCCTTCAGATCGTCCCACGCCCGTGAACCCAGCCGCCGCCCGCCGCCCCTGCACAGTGCCCAGTGCCCACCTGTTTGTGCGGCTGCAGGTCTGCCGGCGGCAGGCTGAGCCGCTCCATCTCTGTCCTCTGTCCCTGCCGCTGCTCCGCCAGGCGCGCCGCCGCCTGGCGCGCCTGGTCCGCCTGCTGGCGCCGTCGGCACCGGTGGCGTTTCCTCTTCTCTGTAACCTGCTTCTTCAGCCAGGCGGTCCGCAGTTTATCGCGGCGTTCCTCCGCGGGGTCCTCCGCCGGCGGTTCGGTAAGCGGCCTCACAGCGCCGGCCGCCGCGCCCGCTGACGGGTTGTCTTCAGGTGAGGGGAGGCAGAGCAGAGCGCCGGAACGGGGCACGCCGCGGCCGGTGGCTCGGGCCCGGACGGCGACTAGGAGACGACCGCTGCCGGCCGGGAGGGCAGCCGGACGGCCGGAGCCAGCCGTCAGAGCGGCGGAGAGCAGCCGCAGCGTGGCCGGGTCCCGACAGACCATAGGAGTGTCAGAGTCCGCGGCCGCTGTCCCACCCTCAACCGGGCACAGCCGCGTCACCAGGCGACTCCACCAGCAACTGAACGGATCCGGCACACCCAGCTTCACAAAGTTGGGCCTCTTGGCCGGCGGTCTCTTGAAGTACTCCTCTCTCCTCCTCTGTCTGTCCTCTCTCTCCCACTCTCTCCCTGCAGCCGAGTCGGGGTACTCTGCCGGGAAGCGCAGCTCACCAGTCTCTAGCGCCATCCGCTCTGTCTCCCGGAGCCCGCCGGCTCGAGCACCTGAGTACTGCAGGGCTACCCAGAAGGCCATACCCCAGCCTGGCGGCAGCAGAAGGTCCCAGCCGGGGCAGCGGTGATTCTGCAGGAGAATGACCGGCACGGGCGGTAGGCGTAGTGACTCGGCTGTGGCGCCCGGTACCAGCAGGTGGCCGCGCGCTCGGTTCAGAAGGTTGTCGGAGAGTTTGGTGGTGGTGACCTGGTGTCGGACCGACTCGTCCCAGAGAGGAGAGAGCTCGGAGCCCGCCGGCAGCTCCGCCACGGGCTCGTCCGACAGCTCTGCAAACGGAGACGACACTTAGTAATAAGATCCGGCCCCTCAAAGACAAACGAATGGAGAATGGACAAACGAACGAATCGCGAGACCACATCCTAGTTCGCAGATAAAGCGATCCGTACCCAATCAACCAATTAACTCCACTGAACTGGCTCAACAGTGACTAGCTGACATAGCTGTCATTGCTGACACGCTTGGGATATGTAAGCAACATGCCTCCCGTAACAGGAAGGATCCCACACAGCCTGCCTGTCCTGTATCCTACCTTCGGGCCGCTGAATGGCCTTGGTGCGCTGCTGCGGAAGGTGCCTCCTGGGATCATCCACCGTCAGCCCCATCACACACCCCGGGGGCAGCTCTCCCGGAGAGGTGGCCTCTCCAACAGCCTTCCAGAGCCGCCGCTGGGCCTCCAGCCGCTCGGCAGTGTCCCAGGCCGGCGGTGGGTCGGCGGCCACACGAAGACAGGACTGGAGGACCGCCTGAGAGCCGGGCCCGCTGAGACGGAACCGAACCATGCGGCCCTTCAGCTCGGTCAGATGTACAGGGGTACTAGTGGTGGTGGTGGTGTCTTTATTGTCTGCAGCAGTGTCGGTGTCAGTTGTGCCCGCAGGAATGTCGGCTCTGCCGGTGGTGGTCTTCGGCTTCGCAGTCCATCGACGAAGGATATGCAAGCGTCGAGGAGCAAGCTTGATCTGGTCGACGTTTTTCTTCTTGTAGGCCGTATCTACCGCTGCTGCACTTGAGGTGGGTTTGGCTGCCGGGGTTTTTACATCACCGGCTGGCGTAGCATCATCGCACTCCATGGGTTCTTCACCTTCAACTTCGTCTTTGCCGCCTTTGTCTCCAGCACCGTCTCCTTTATCGCCTTCCTCTGCCGCTGCAGCATCGCCTCCCTCATGTCCACCATCCTCTCCCGGTCCCATCTGTTCCACTTCCACCTCCTCCGGCTCTCCTGAGGCTCCAATAGCCGCCACCAGCGCGTCTCTCACCGCGTCATAGCCCGCCGGGTGGACCCACAGCCAGAGGGCCCGGCGCGGCGCACCGTCCGCCGGTCCCCACAGTATGGAGACGGGCGCCAGCGGTCGGTGGGGAGGGTCGGATGAGCGCAGTAGTAGCCGGCCCTGGTGACGGCCGGAGAGGAGGCGCGCCGAGCCGGCACCTCCGGCCGATAGAGAGGTTAGAGCTGACAGCAGGGCCGACTGAGGGCCGGACAGCTCCAGTTGACACAGGTAGGACACGTCCTGAGGGGCGGCGGAGAGAGGGAGGTTAACGATAGTTCCGCAAATTTACGGCAACTGACAGTCGAGAAACACTTGGTGGCATCAAAAATGTATTCTTTCAATAATTTCCCATCAGGATCAAACAATAAGAATATTCGTTCGAGCATTCATTCATTCATTCATTCAATTCCTTTCCGGTCATTCATTCATTCATTCATTCATTCGCACATTCATTCATTCATTCATTCATTCATTCATTCATTCATTCATTCATTCATTCAATCTCTCCTCATTCATTGATACAAGTTCAATCATTTAGCTATTCGCTCACTGATCCGTTAGCTTCTTCATCTGGTTCCATCCATTCATCCTTTCATTCCCGCATTTCACTCATACTTATTACTGAACAGTCTATCTGCGCGTAATCTCCACGCATCACCTCACAGTTAATTCATTCCTCCCCACTCATACTCATACTCATACCCACATACTCATACACGCTCACCAATTCACCACAGCATCGTCCAGCCTTCGCTCACCTGTACCAGGCAGTGGTGCGCCGTGGCGCGGTACGCCGCCCGGAATCCCTTATCAGTAGCGCTCTCCGGCAGCTTGAAGCCCCAGCGGTGTACCATGTGGAACCGGCGCGCGTGCCAGATGTGCGTCTCCAGCCAGAGGTGCTCGCGCTGCCGCCGGTTGTACTCGAGCAGAAGGTTGCTGGGGCGCCGCCGGTGCCGCCGACTGGGCCGCTTTGAGACCTTCATCTGCGTCAAGTCGCGCTGCAAATTGGAACGAGGGGGGAAGGCGGTGTTAATATTGAAACTAATCCACAAGATCCATATCTAAGGAAGTTTTTTTACAGTACAGGCACGGTCACTACTTATCCCCGACAGTAAAAAAATGAACAATTAAACATAAATGCGGCGAACCATCCAACATCGCGCGGAAAACTGCCACAAATCGCGGAGAAATACACCCGAAATCTCGCGGCGGAGGTCACCGAGCCGGGCCTCACCTGTTCGGTGAAGGCCTGGCGCGCCCTGACCGGCAGACGTTTGGGGTCGTGGCTCATGGCGCGTCGCTGCATGTGCCTCGGCAGACGCTGGTACACCATCTTGGTTCGGTTCGGGTTATCTGCGCGAGATACGCGACACTTATCAGCAGGCGAATGTGTAGTAGCCGTGAAGGAGTGACTGTAAATATAGCCTCTTGAGGTATAGGAAGAATGTGGAAAGCAATAGGTGAGCATGGTTAGATGCTGTCTAAAAATTCAGATTAGTTGACTTATCATAACACATTACTACAACACCAATAGGATCCCCATATGTTTGTGAAATTGAAATCACCACAGAAAATATAAGTTTTAGGCTTGCAATTAAGCCCCAGGCTATGCTCATATTTCAAAGCAAATGTCTGATGGACAGAAAAATTCACCATTGTCTGAGGAAAGCTGCTTACCAATAGCATCTGTAAGTCGCTGAATCTCAGTTGCTCTTTCTGAAGTGAGCTCCAGAAAGCTGATGTTTTTGCCAGTAAGCACTGGCTCTGGGGCAGGACCTTCAGCCATTTTGATACCTGTAGAATATAAAACAAGTGAATTATTTTTGAGGGGTTTATGCTGACCACATTCTCAATGACCATGGCTACATTTTTTTTTTCAGGACAACAGCAAATACCTACACAAAGTAGCAGATAGGTGCAGGCAGTACAGAGTACAGACTTCTCATGGTGAGTGCATCACTATGAGCCATAAGACACCAGTGTTCAGTAGGTACAAGTAAAACTAAAGAGACACAGCCACTGACTGATCATGGCTCACAAAGTGTCATTGATCATGGGTGATAACTCATGGATCACAAATAATCATGGATCATGAAGCATCATAGATCACAACTTAAGGCATCATGGATCATGAAGCATCATGGATCATTAAGCATCATGGATCATGAAGCAGCATGGATCATGAAGCATCATGGATAAGGAAGCATCATGGATCATGAAGCATCATGGATCATGAAGCATCATGGATCATGAAGCATCATGATGGATCATGAAGCATCATGATGGATCATGAAGCATCATGATGGATCATGAAGCATCATGATGGATCATGAAGCATCATGGATAAGAAACTTCTAGCACCATACCCCTTAGATCATGGAGTACCAGAGGCCATGGGAAGAATGGGTGCTCGATCATAATGGATAATCACTAATCAGTGTAATGGATCCATGCATATTGCATATTGCTTGGAGACAGGTGACCCACCAAGTGCAACTAGGTGGGTCACCAAAGATCAAAGTTTCTGGATTCCTTGTCCTGCAAACTTAAGAAAGCATGGATGAGAGCGGCGATGCGAGTCAATACAAAAATTCTGTGAAGAGTCCACGGGCAGCATTTTATGATTAAAATTGAAATAGCTTTATTTAAATTCCTACTTCAACTTTGTTTGGCTACCTCAATGTATATCTGAATTAATCAAAACTGAAACAAGGGTCAACATCAAGTCAAAGTAGGTAACTCAAGGCTGTAGCCCAATTTCCCACTATTTTTGCACACCTTAGTGAATAGGTTATAGACTGAAATCGTACCTCTATTTTTGAAAAATAAAAGTTCAGAAGCATGTTCTCATCAGACCGGCGTGCATGCAGGGCGTTTTTTTTTTTTTTGGCGTGCATTTGTTTATTAGAATTGGATCTTTTGCGCCATTTTGACACACAAATGTACGCTACCATAAGGAAAATCTTCTAAAAACTTTAAATCCAAGATTCCAATTATCCTTTGCTTTGAAACTGAGAAGCAGTTTCAGCATAAAATTTAGCTAAATTATAATAAATTAATTATTCCCAATGTTTTACTGATTTATTTCATGCAATTTGATTTAATTCAAAAAGAAAAAAGAAAAGTTCGTACTTAACTTTTTGCAGCGATGAAGGGATGCGAAGAGTTTTGAAATATGGAAGCAATTTTATCTTGGACAGTTTGTGAATCACAAACAACAGATGTACATTTGTGATTTTTGACTTTTGATGAGGGGGAGGATACTTTTGGATAACTGAAACTTCAAGAAGTCGGTGAGTGGTATTTTTTATTTAATATTTACTTAACACCTAGCGTGATCCCACGCAGAATTCATCGAGGCTCGTCAGGGGCGGATCCAGGAATACTCCAAGGGGAGGGTCATGAATCGAAGTGGTGCCCCTACCTATACCCAAAATTAAAAACTCAGCGGATTTCGTCCACTTCATTTTGGTGGTGCCCCCATTTTCAGTTTTTTTTTCTTTTTTATTTTTAGTCAGTATCTTAACTCTTAGCCACAACCACATTTCAATTTACCAATTGTAAGCAAGTATATATGAATGTGCTATGTGTGTATATGTTGTGGACGCTGAGTAGTGAGTACTTACCAGGAGCGTTATCAGGTAAGCGAATCGTTGTCAGTCCGACGAACTTGACCCTGGCGTCTAAAGGGTCTGTCCTTGACACTTCAGGCTTGTCAGGGGCACCAAAGTCCTTCCAGGGACACCACAAACCTGTCAGGGGCACCTACGGCCTTGTAGGGGCGCCACAGGCCCGCCATGAAGCAGGGGCACCACAGGTCTTGCAAGTATACACGACAGGCCTGTCAGGGGCACAACGGGCTTGTTGGGCCCATGAGCACCCCTAGGGGCAGGGGCACCACAGTCCTTCCAGGAGCACCGCAGGCCTGTGAGGGGCACCAGCGGCCTAGCAGGGGCACCAGTCAACAAAGGCCTGCCAGGGGCACCACAGACCTGCCAGGGCACCAGAGGCCTACCAGGAGCACCACCGACCTCGCAGGGGTAACTTGGGCCTGTCAGGGGCACCACGGGCCTGTCGAGAGGCACTTCAGGCTTTTCAGGGGCACCATAGTCCTCTCCGGGCGCAGGGGTAGCAGGGGCACCAGAGGCCTGCCAGGGGCACCACAGGCCTAGCAAGGGCACCACGAGCCTGTCATGGGCACCTCAGGCCTGTCATGGCCCAGGGACACCACAGTCCTTCCAGGGGCACCACAAGCCTGTCAGGGGCACCAGAGGCTTAGCAAGGGCACCACAGGCCTGCCAGGGGCACTACAGGCCTAGCAAGGGCACCACTGGTCTATCAGGGGCACCACGAGCCTGTCATAGCCAGGCATCTGAGGCTTGTCAAGGCCCAGGGGCACCACAGGTCTGTGAGGGGCACCAGCGGCCTAGCAGGGGCACCAGTCAACACAGGTCTGCCAGGGGCGCCACAGACCTGCCAGGGGCACCACAGACCTGCCAGGGGCACCACAGGCCTGCCAGGGGCACCACCGGCCTTGCAGGGGCACCTCAGGCCTGTCAGGGGCACCACGTGCCTGCTGGGGACACTTCAGGCTTGTCAGGGGCGTTACAGTCCTGTCAGGGCCCAGGGCCACCAGGCCCGTGGTGTCCCTGCTAGGCCTGTGGTGCCCCTGGCGGTCCTGTGGTGCCCCTGTCAGGACTGTGATACCCCTGATAGGCCGGTGGTGCCCCTGGCAGGTCTTTGGGCCCCCGGGCCTCAAGGGGGGGCCATGACCCATGTGACCCCCCCCTTGGATCCGCCCCTGAGGCTCGTTAGTATTGAATTACATTTTGATTTACATTTTGTGATTTCATTTTTCTCTGGTGCCCAGTGAATCTAGATTTTTTTCCCAATATAAATTACTATTTCATTAGATTCTGGTCCTAGGCATATACTTGATAATTTTAATCACCAGAAGGCACATGGATTCTTAAATTTTATGCATCATATGATGTGCTCCGGCCTCTGGGTGTTTCCCGCGTTTGGTGGCGGCCACTGGGCATCCTGATCCCTCATGAGTCATGAGCTATGAGCATGCGGCCCTTTCTGCCATTCATGTAAGCTCAGAAAGTACTTGTTGCTTTTTCTTGGTCTCTCACTGTTGTTGAGTGTCTACACATTTGTTACCTGCGAGAGGTTGAGAATAAGAATAACCAGCCACCTAACAAGCCATAGGCATGATGACGAGAAAACTGTGACTGATGAACCACAATTTTTTAATAGAAGCATACCGACTATGATTTCTCACTTATTTCTGATTATGCTGATGTCCTGTAAAATATACTGGTTCTGTGTTCAGCTTCATTGCATGGAATCAGGAATGTATAATCTGTTCCATGGTTTATGGATGGAAACCAATGTGAACTGTTTACCTCATTGGGAGGTGGGTTTCTTTGAATGTGATCCTCTTTGGTCACCTCTAATGTGTTTCATTAACTGTGTCATTGTATTTCAGAGATGGATAATGGTGAAGATAATCAGGATGGTCAAAATGAGGAGCCATCACCATTTGTCCCTGATCTGGGTCTGCCCAGCGATGAGTCTGTGAACCATGGTCAAGGTATTGGAATGTGGATGAATTGTACTGGAGTGCTGAAACAATTGCAAACAAAAACAACAATGCATCTGTTGATCAAATTCACCCGTAGGGCCTGTATGCCTGTGGGCTGTGTGTGACTGGTGTCATGTGTCAAAACTCCAAATAAAGACTAAATCAAATAGACAAGGTTACAGCAATCTCTCAATACACCAAACACCAGCTGACCACCCCTCCCCACCCACGCGTAGGTAACGGCGGCGGCGCGGTGGGCGGTGCCGTCGGCGGCGGCGGAGAGGCGCCGCTGTCGTTCCGCCGGTTCTTGGAGCCGCCCGGCGGCGGCGCGGCGCGTCCGTACGTGGCCGCCGGTCTCCCGGAGCTCGTACAGGCCCTCCCCGATCACCTGGCGCCCTCGGCGGAGGCCGGCGCGGCGCGGGAGCCGCGCGACTGGCAGTCCCCCGCCGCCGCCGCTACAGGCACGCGCAGGAAGGTGAGCGGTCCGTTACGATGGATGGATTGGAATTTTGTCAGTGGGTAACATGACTAACGTTTTACATTTCTTCTGAGAGTTCTGAGATTTCCCAGTAAGTAATATAAAACGGTCATGCTTTGTGTAGATATTTTATGCTGAATTGTCATGAAAGTATGCAGTGATGCAATGATAACATTACTTTGTCTTACGAAGAATACAAAATCGCTCGACTGTCGGCTGAAATAATTTTTATTATACTTTCATCATCTACCTTCCGGCTTCCCCCAGGTACCATCGTCCTCAGCAGCAGCTGCTGCGGGCGGCGCGGCGGCCGTGCCGCCCGGCCAGCCGCTGGGTCTGCCCGATTTCCTGTCCGACGGTCCGATGGGCACGCTGCACGCGGCCGGCGCCGCTGAGGGACCTCACCGGGACGTGGTCGGCGCCGGTGCCGGTGGGGCCAGGCTGAGGCCAGCGGTGGGACATGCAGAGGGATCACAGCAGCGGATACAGAGGGTGAGCGAGACAGGAGATGGACGCGGCAGCGGGAAAGGGGATGGCAGACAGAAAGAGGAGTGTAGTAGTGCCACTAGTGACTGAGGAGTGTCTAGAGGATGTGAGAAGAAAGTGCAGCGAGCTCTTTTTAGATGACTGAAATAGGCGATCAGTAAACTCAGTTTGAGATCTGTGAAACGACGCAGGGGCGGAATTTTGGTTTTAAACATAATGGTTATGAGCTATTATCTTTCTGATAGTTCTTGTGGGACGGGGAGTGTGACTAAACTCGTCTGTTGTTGCTCTGGTCAGCTGGAACTGGAGAACGCCGGTCTGAGACGGGACGTGGAGCGACTACAGCAGCAGCTGCAGCACGAGCGAACACGGTGAGGGGATGGAGCGGATCACCGGGCACAGAAGGGAGAGGGGCAGACTGATCGGTTACGGGCTGCAGTGGCCAGCTGGTGTAGGGGTACCGTTGGGTTCATTCACGGAGGGTTACAGACCAAAGGTGGCGTACAGGGGTATCGCCCAGGGGTTACGAAAGGTCGCTCCATCCAGTGTTACATAAGAACCCACAGGTCACGGAAGGAGAAGGAGTACCGCTCGAGGATTCACGCATCAGTTCTCTATCAGCCAGCCTTAACCTTTCCGTTATCTCTCGTCGCCGACTAACCGGCCCCTCCCCCGCTTCGGACAGGACGAGCGTGCTGCAGGCTCAGCTAGACAGCACAGCAGCAGCGGCGGCAGTACCACCCCCAGCGTCACCTGAAGGCGAGGGACGACTGCAGGAGGAGGTGCGCTCGCTGCGCGCGCAGAACGCCGAGCTGCGCCGCCGCGCCGGCGCCGTGCCCTCCGCCCAGCAGGCGGCCGCTCAGATGGAGCAGGCGGCCGCCAGCGCTGAGCAGCTGATTAGGTCAGTAGTAACTGCAGTGGGCTGCGTGTGTATGTATGTGTGGGGGGAGGGGGGGGGGGGTTAGGTCTTTCGGTGCCAAGGATCTTCGCGTGAGATTTCGTGGTACTGCAGACTGCAGTTTGTTTTCCCACAGTGGCTCCGAAGCTTACATAACTGAAGGTTATGTAGGACTTTTTGTGGCATGGAAACCCTTCATTGTTTTCTCGAGACTTATTCTACGGAAGCAAGCACACCTTTTTCATTTATATTTGCCTGACGAACCGACTTGAAAAGAAAATACCGTTTCATCGAAGTGCATGACTGATGTCGAGCCCAGGTATACATCCCAGTTACCATTTTCCTTATGTGCCTTTCAGCCAGCTGACGTCCGGTGTGCGGAGTCTGCGCTCCCTCTCGGCCAGTCTGGGAGGCGCGGCGGCAGCGGAGGAGGTCCGGCCCGACCCGCTGCCCGACCTGGGCCGACCCCCGTCCGGTGAGCCGCCCTGCTGACCTGACCGGGCGGCGCGGGGTCACCCCGAGTGACCGGCACTCTTCCAGTGAGGTGTGTGGAACCGTACCAAATAACGCCAGTTACCGCCGGGTAGGTAGTCGCAGAGGAGCGGGGAACACAGCCGGGCCCGTGTTTGTGCTTGGAGCTGCATTTGGGACCCAGGTGGCGTGCCGTGTTATCCCAGAAACGGCTGGTCGCTGCGGTGCTGAAATCGCTGTCCCGTGGGGCAATACCGGCGCGACCAAGCACCGATTTACACCAAAAACCAGGCAGGACGACCGAGTGCAACATGGTTATGTCGCTTCCTGAACACCTGCGTCGCACACTGCATAATATCCAAACATGGTGTTCGGTTGACGATGCTGTGGGCACCAGAGACATGGCTGGTTGCCATGGAAACCACCGCGAGTACGTGAATAGCTTTGCGTTTCACTGCGGTTGGTGTCCTGACGGGGCATAATATCTGCATAGACTGCAGACCTGGGCCAGGGGAGGTTTTATCTTGCCAACGGGGTGCTTCGTGCTGTGGGGCCGCACGCCAACCGGCTGAGTGTATTAGAGCTGGCATTTTATCGCCGTCACGGGACCGTGGCTTGGCTGGTCTGTGGCACGGCTGGCTCGCGTGAAATATGTGAGATTGAGGAGGAAAGTGGGCGCTCTCAGATGGTGGCGAGATCTGCAGCTTTCTTGCAGGGTGCTGCGGAGTCGGTATGTCGTGTATTCAGGAGCGTTCTATTCACCGAACGGGTTATGATTGGAATGTGTGGATTGCAGTTCCGGGATACACAAGTGATTTGATGACATTTTCGCTCACTGATTCGCTTACATGTAACGAAGCAATAACTCCATGGCTTGCAACGTTTAACATCGTTTTTCTTTCGGATTTAAATGAACATGATCAGTCATTCGTAATCTTATTTATTTTTCCGTTTTTTTTTTTTGTCAACTTGTGAGTGAAAAATGTTGCCTGCATAGCTCTGATCATTTTACGGTTCTGTCTAGTATTTCATTGATTCGACAAAAGGCTGCTAGCGCGTTATAGGTAAACGCTCTACGAGTCTCGATTTATCCCGGAACTTACATGCAAATGTCAAAACTGGTTTACTGCGTAGCTTACCATGTGTGTCAAGTGCGCTGTACGCGTGTGACCGCTTGCAAGTTATGCATGTCGCTGCTGTGTGTGCTGACGTCGTGCTTGGCATTGATTTATGTGTATCATATGATAAACCGTTTATCAGCGCTACGTATTGCCGCATTTAACCATGGGAACGTGTCTCGTTTGCAGTATGCTCGCTAGGCTGTCGGAATCGGTCGCCGAAAAGCGAGTTATTTTTCGTGTGCAACATGTATGTTTTATTATTCTGACCCGACTATAGCTAATCGCTATGGTCACCGCCAGCCGATGGGCTGGGGGATTCTGAGCTTTGCGTAGCCAACGTGTCTGCCATCAGGAATGATATCTAGTTATGGCCAGTGCGCTGCCGTGTGAGGCGACCGGCCGCGCTCCGTTTGTGTGTGGCGGTGTGTCGCTGGGTACGTGCCTCGGACGGTCGGACTACCCACGGGTCACCGGGAAGACGGCGGTCCTGGCGGGGTGTCCGCCCGACTTGTGCGAGTGGCAGTTGTCTCGCAGTGATGGCTGTATGTGCGGGGCGTGTGCCGAGAGAGGAACCTTGGCGTCAAGGTATAACGCAGCTTATGTGGAAATATAAGTAACATTTTTCATACCGGTGTGCTGTTGCTATATGCATTTCGCAGGTCTGGTGAAGTGCTGTTTGGGCGCTGGTGATGCCTTGTTCCACTGGCCATTATGACTGTGATAGGGGGCAAAGATGGTTTTAGCTGCTGATGGCACGCGACGAGGTCCGGTTAGAAAGTTACGACGGAGCCGTTAAAAATGGTCACTGCAAGACGGACTCGTTTCAAAGCATTCCTGTACTAGTACTATGGTAGTCGCATCATTCTAGGGTACCTAATTGTTCCATTTTCGCATAGGTATGCCATAGGGGAAAAACGACGGGAAAAGGAGTCGCGCTTTTACGAGGAAGCAAACTGCAAAAGTAGGTAAGCGGCAAAAGTGCTCGTATGATATAATACCGTTCAATAAATCAACAAAAACCGTTCATGGTTTCCTCAGTTCTCTTCCCTGATTTTAACGGCTCACTGGACCCGCCGGTGGTGCAACAAGCCCAGCTCAACGGTTGGGTGTGGCATATGAAAAGTAGACGGCTAAACGCTCTAAAACAAATTGAGGATGCTTTGAAGGGTGAAATTTGGCCGAGCATGGTAAACGAGGTCAGATGAAGTGCTGATCGAAGGTTGTTGAATTTTAGTGCATGTGACGCAGTCAATTGACCAGACAACTTTGACCCATATCAACGCGGACTTGGTGACGATGAAATGAAAGGAAGGTGTTAACTTGTCAGTAAATAGCAGATCAAATGCGTTTTAGACATTTCATAAATCACACCTGTCGCCATAAATAATTTACCTGCTGCTTTTCTTCTCCAAGAAAAATAGTGCTCGTATTTGCTCAATTCTCAAATACAATTACCCGTAATCTGGCTCAATTTTTGCTACTTGACAACTTCCTAAACATTAACTAGCTAAATAGACCCCAATCTATCCAAGAAACCACATTTTTTATGTGTTTGTGATCCTCCGCGTAACGTCAGCATCAGCTGTGCGAGTGCCCTGGCACTGCGCAGGCGCAGTAGAAATCGGTCTTGTGTCGTTTTGGACTGGTGAGTGGGTGCACGTGTGCTATGTCTCTTTGGGTTTTATTGCTATTTTGATATTTTAAGGGGTTGACAACCTCTCATCTTTTTCAGAATCCAACGACAAAGTGGATCCCACTAAAGGATTTCCAGTACCTTAGGACGGACCTCACGGAATCAGTACTGTAAGTTGACCTTAACATTGTCAGTCGGTGACACACCAGGGAAATAAGCTAAAATTAGAGCGCTCTATTTATTGCTCCCGCTACTTCACCGTCTCCCATAGGGTCCTGTGTTGAGCTGGTGTCGAGGCTCTAAAAATGACGCCGATTTTTGCACCCTTCTCACGAAAACCGCTCGGACCGCCTGGAAACCAATTGTTCCGCTCTAAAAATTTCATGATCGACGGGAAAATGAATGAGGAAAAGATTGGTCCTGAAATAATTCTGAACTCCCTGTAGAACATATTGAAATATGGCTGCAAACTAGGAGCATGTCAAAATCGACAAAACAATACAAATAAACTTACCGGGATTTTTTTATTTTCCATGCATCTGTGTATGAAATCAGTCGAATTTTCGGAAAGATCATCTTCTGTTTAATAAATAATTCCACAATGGCAATCGAGAAAAAAAAACATTTCTGCTGTGACAGCAGTTTTGGCATTGTGCCAGTAGTGTGGCGTGCGCGGTGCTGCGTGGTCGTCGGGACGGAGTTGTGAGTATTTTCGGTGTTTTAAATGGTTGATGGCCATTTGAACCAGCTTCATATTATTTCCTACAAATTTTTGCATCAAATTATTGCTTGGAAAGACCATTGAAACCCCTTATCTCTTCATGAAGCACGATCATATTCATCGTCGACGAAAATGGCGCGGGACTCCATGTGCATTCCGATCGAAATAAATCGTAATTTAAATAATATTCGATGATAAGTATCATATTCTAGTGACACATTTTCATAAAATAAGGCATAAACTTTGCAAGGAAGTCAACATTGGATAATTGAATTCTTATTTTTCTCACATATCCTTGTAGTAGTCAAATGGCTCAATTATTAGATAGATGTAAGTATATGTTTTGGCTTGATGTTTGCTGTGAAACCACCCAGCCACTTGCTGGTTGAGTGGTTTTCTGATAATTACCTGATAATCATTTCTCCTTTTCCTTAAAAGAAACTAAAATTCCTTTCAAAGTAATCCATTTTAAGGAAAGGCGGCTTGCTCATTGGTATTTCATGTTCTTGTTTTGTTATTGCTGGCAGTATTTTGATACAATAATGCAATATGAATTTTTTTGCAATAATAAAACCTAAGACGAACTTAGTTAATGCGTCAATCAAACACCCAACAGAAAGATTGTGAGTCCTTGTGACGTGAAGTAGAATATTCTATGAATGTGTTTTATAGAATATGCCAAATATTAAATTAATTATTATTTGATACCAATAGCTGAGCAGGTGAATTATGCCACAATATAATTTCATTTTCTGGTTTTGAAATAGCCGGCAGTATTTTACTTCAACAAATGTAATATACATGGAATACATGTTGTTATGTTACCTATGTTCAAAGTTTAATAACAGCCAACAGAAGGAGCTTTTTCAGCAGATAATGTTTGTACCTTATGCATTACCTTTCTTTTCTGCAGGACCATGCTTCCGCTGGGTGGTCGACATTTGCCTCCTGAAGAAGTTGAGCAACATGAAGACCACCAGATGAGGTGTCTGCAGTTCATGTGGAACTCTGCAGACTACAAGTGTTATGCCAACCACAACCAAAGTGCTGTGATCATGGAGGCATGAACCTCATGACAACACTTCAGATTTGCAGTTGAACCAAAGTGTGATTCAAACCACCAGTGGCATCTCACTCGTGGTGTGTGGTGAACAGTGTGATTATTGTGCAGTGTTCAGCTGCAACTAAGACATTTATTAGTGACTTGTTTTGCAATTAGCCACCAAAAGCATTTTTTGGGCTGGCTGCTGTAATTTGTTGTGCACTGCGCAATAGTGGTAGTGTTTTGTCACTTGTCAAGTTGTCAGTTGTGCATGTTGCATGTTTCTCTTCCCTCGGCCCTCATTATCAGTTAAGTGGTGAATTGGCATCACTCAGTCTCCCCAGATCTCCATTGACTGTCTGTCAACCACCTAACTTGAGATGGTATTTGCTAATAGTGTCAGAAAAGAAGTGATTGTAGACATTTTTAGGAATATGAGCTCCGTTTCATGCGTGTTCCAGTGGTCATTTTGTCACATGTCCCATAGTGTAATAAATGGAAACTGTTGTTCCCTTTTGAAGGTACTCGCGGATGCAGAAAGCGTTGGGCCTAATTATTAAACGCACCCTCCTATCAGCGACGCACGAAATCGACAAATATCATCCTTTTTAGAACAGGAGGAAACGAAAACTTGTGAACATAGCTGTACCTACAACAGTGCATAAGGAATTGAAATTCTGGGAGTTTTTGAAATTCGGAGAAACTAAAGTTGTCGACAGGTATCAGGTGTGCCCCCTTGCACGTCAAAGACCAGGGTCAAAGACCGCCTAAAAAACAAACGTCTACAAATGAAGGCAGTATTCGTATGTTCGTTGTAATTGCAGCAGCCTAGCAACATGTATTGCGGTCCGATTGCGAATTACACTCGTGCTCAAAAACTATGCCGGTAACTGCCAATGCACTTAGGTCATAGGTGAGGAGAGGAAGGGTTATGTCATATGTCAACATCATAGAAATGGCTTCATCTGAGCTGTGCCTATTGTACATAATTCAACCAATCTATGCATTTCGTTTCTTGCAATCTACTCATGCTTTCACTCCAGCTTCAGAGTAATCATTCCATATTGTACGTCTTAAGATATTGATTCCTATGGCGGTTTGCAATTACTAGCCACGTCTCACCTCAGTTTGGTGGCCCCGCATCGGCCCACTCGGCCGCTCTAAAATTGACTTACGGAGGAGGATGGTGGCTTTTATTTTAGCTTCTCCGCCGACTGCGGGGAGCGCCGTCGCCGAGGTAGGAGCAATAAGTAGCTTATGTTTGGGACTAATTTCCACGCTTAATTAACATTTTAATGTTATTTTAATTAATTCATGTTAATCTTTGACGCATTCTCTTTCTATTGATACCATCCACCGGTCTGAGAATTACTGCCTTGCTGCGTAAGGGCCGATAAAAGATCACGCTTTTAGGGGTATCTCTTCAACATGGGGCAGGAGCAATAAATAGAGCGCTCTAATTTTAGCTTATTTCCCTGGTGTGTCACCGACTGTTGTGTATATTTGATGGTTCTGGCTCATAATAATGCCAAAATAATATGTATATGTGCTCTGAGGAAGGCTCATTTATTAAGTTTTGACATTCACTCTAATTTCCAAAGCCTGCCATGTCAATGGAGGACCAAAATATCAAATAATTTATATAGGCCTAATCATGTTTTGTTCGGAAACTGAATGGTTCACCCTCCCATCATTCATGCTTTCTAATTAAATGATGCATGCATTACACACCATGTAGTTGAGTTATTATAGCCATGATCTTTTAAGATTTCTGTCTGTCTAATCCCTCATTTTCTGTTGTAATTACGAGAGCTGTTAAAAATTTTACAATTGTTCTGCAAATTAAATTGGTATTTCAGGTAAAATGTTTGGTTTAGGTACAAGGCCTTAACTTCATAAAAACAAAACTACTTCATTAGTATCAGATTAAATTTCATTTCAATTTCAAATAAACTGAATTCATTGCAACAGTTGATTTTTTCTTAGTAAATTCATTTCAATTTTGGGCAGCTATTCTAAAATTGAGTGTAGTGCATTGCACTGACCTTTCCCACATAAGATGCAGATCTATAATGATACCAAACTGAAATATTTTGCAATCTTGAAAGTACTTTGTTATGTAACGTGTTTGATTTCATTTTTATAATTAACATGTTGAAAAATAATTTTGGGATGAAAATAGAAACATATGGGAATCATTGAAATGACATTTGCTGAGCACAAAATGACA